TTAAATAACTTAAAATGAAAATTTAGTAATTAAGATAATTTATGATTAGATACACATGATTTATTTCTACATTTTTAGTTAACAAAATATAATAAAAATTAATATCCAAGTCATTTTTTTTTCATTTATAGCCATCTATATGCACGTGAAAGGTTAAATATAAATTACAAAAATACAATACATTAAAATATACGAATATATATCTAATGACACTCGAAACTTTTAAATGCTTTTATATTTATAGAAAATGACTCTTGAGTTATTATTCTTTCGTCAAAATTATTTAAATACACAAGATATACAAGTACTAGAATACATTGTAAAAAATAATTCTTATTTAAAAAATATAATATATTAAATCGTAAAACAAACAATTTAAAGAAAGCCAAATTTATATTAAATGATTTTGACTTAACTTCTCCCGAGAGAGTATACCTAAGGTATATTTGCTTCTCAATAATTGTGTGTCTTTTACAGACGTTTTTAAGAAATTCTACATGAGATAGTAAAAAAGCTTAAAAAGTCTTAGGCAGTACTTAATATATTAAATAAAGAATAGTAAAATACCTATTATACTATAAAAAGGTATTTTTTGAACTGCTTAGTTGTTTTTAAGAAAATTATAACAATGAAAAAATAACTGTAATAGTAATCTAATAGAATATTTACACTTTTAATTTTAGATTAAATCTAGAAAATTGTTGGGTAAAATAACCTCCACTCAGAATCATTTTTTTGAATGTATGATATAATTTATCATTATTATTTCCAAGTATAAAAAAATAAAGATATCAAACTCTTAAGCATTTAAAAACATCGACCACCCCACGTCCCTCGCTACAGTATATCAAAAACTATCATCACAAGGATCAGTACTCTTTCCACTAGTAAAATATTGTTGAATGTCAAAAATGCATTAAATATCTTCTTTTTTGAGTTTAAAATGTTTTATCGTGATACAATTATGATAACATTATAAAGGTATTGCATAATTTATAATATAAAGTATATATTATATAATGGCTATTAAAAATAAGTAATATAATATACGCATTGTGAAATATAAATAACTAACTTTTATTTTAACTTTGAATTAAGTTTTAAAAAAAATTAAAATTCGAATATTTTAAATAACGATTTTTATCAAACGTTTATAAAGTCAACTCAATTTGCGTTCATTATAAATATTTTTTACAATATACCTACTTAATGATTTCGAAAACATCAACTAAAACAATAAAAACATATGTGAGTTTTTTTTAATTTACTTTTAACTAAAAAATAATCGAAAAATATATAGTTAGACAAACTATAATACTTGCCAATTTCTAAAAGAAAACTTATCAGCAATATTATATTTATTGAATTAAATTTTTAATGTATACACTATACAGCATATATAAAAATTATAATTTATCGCAAAGAGGTGTTATTTTATTTTATTTATTTATTTATTTTTTTTTATTGTATTAACGATCGGTATAAAAATCCCAAATTTATTTAAATAAATTTCTAATATTATATTTTTTCCAATTATAATTATTATTTACTAACCCATCAAGTTGTATCGACTATTTCAAAGTGATAGATCATTTTGCACTTTATTTTAAAATTTTAAAGTCTATTATGTAATATATAATTTTTTATTTTAAAAATTTTAGTATTTATGAAATGTTATTTATAATATTAATTCGTCTATTTAAAAAGTAAATTAAATATTTATGGTAATAATATAAATAACTTATATTTATAAACAATATTTCAAAAGCATATAGTATGGTTAAATTATAATTTGTTACATTAAATTATACACCAATAAATTATATTATGTAGGTATATAAATGTTTAAATACACATGGAATGATATTTATTTGAATTACGAACAAAAAGGTAATTAAAAATAATTATCGAATTATTTATATCAAAAGCCAAAAGGTGTTATTATTTCAAAATTTGTGTTACAATTATTACCTATATTATAGAATATTTTAATCAATATTTTTGTAAATAATGTAAATGATATGTTTCGCATATTTGTCATATAACCCATAGGTAATACTGACCACTTAAACCAATGATTATATTTAACTCCAATGCTTGAAATCTTTATAATACATATTGATTAATTGATCACTATTAACCATTATTTATGAAAATAACAATGAGATTGTATATTAAGTGACACGTAATAGTTGTGTTTAACTATGAATTATGTGCCTACTCAAGTAAGTTTTCGAAATTTGCAAATAATTGACCACTGAACACAAATTGGAACATATATTTTGATAAATATTATGTCATGAGTGGTCACTAACATTATTAAATTGTATAAAATAAAAATGTTTTCAAAAATATCTAAGAAAATGTCTATTCGGTGATAAAATAGAACACACATTATACATATATAATATAGTAGCCTAATTGAATCCCTTATAATGATATACTTAAAACAGCTAAGCCTTCCCATTTGATCACCACAGCGTATTTGTTTTAATAAGACGAATAACAGAGATATTGTTATGGGACGTTTTTAATCTTTATATAATGATTATAAATTCAACGAATAACGAATAACGTATGATATGTGTTTATGTGTTGTATATTATAAGTTATTACTTGATTTTACCGGCTGCTTAGGAATTTGTTTGTCGATTGTTTTAACAGAATATTTAAGAAAATATTCGCTAACTTTAGAAGCTATGTTTAAATTAATATCGCTTAAGAATCATGAAATTTCTATCTTGTTGTTATATTAAACGTGCAAAGAAAATATTGCATTTAACCTTGTACGGGTTACTGAATGAGAAAATAGTTAGCATCATGGAATATTATTATTTTATTTTTACTAACATTTGTTTAAAAAATAAATAAAAATAAAATAAATTCTTTTGGAAATATGTGTTAAATAGTTTTCCAAACATAAAAAATAATTATCATTTTAACGTCCAGCAAACAGAATTTTAAATATTATTACAAGATGCAAATAAATTATACTGTAATCTATATTGTGTATGATTAACTGTATACGTACACACACTATCTATGTACACAGTATAGCGTAGGTGTAAAAGATTTTATTTCTGGTCGAATTTTAATCACAAATGCGTAGGTGTGCGTAACAGAAATATGATATTAAAGTGTCGTTTAGCCAAAACAACTTTGTTCGCAAAAATATACGTAGGTGATGGGAACGAGATTTGATTGCACGAAAATAAGATCCTTTTTCAATATTGACCGATTCCAAACAAGTACATATTGATGACGAATGATGATGATTATATACACTATAATAACACAAGTGTGTTCTCATCTAATATTTCGTATTTTTATTTTGTAGAGGGATTTTCTGTGTGGACAACGATAACGCCCCCTCACACACTACACGCAAAGCCTAAACCTAGAACATCATTGAATATTAAACCATCTAATATCGACCATCGTTTTGTATAAAATAATATAAAAATTATGATTAACATAAAAATATTTATGATAATCATAAATTAATTTCGATACTTTTCCGGAATTGCTCAAAGGTATTATTATTATTTATTAATATATATTTTTTTTTAATGCCGATATGTTTATTAGCAATTACCTATACACTCCTCTTCACATAAATCACACTCATTTTTATCATGTTTTTATTTTTACTATTATAAGTTCTTCAAACGTGAACCTGTAAATTTTTAGCTCTTAACAAGACTTATATTTTTTTAATTTCTCTGTTTTTTCATTGAAATGATACAAGTAACATTTGCAAAATAACCCAAATGATTATTGATACATATCAGACCAAAACACAACTTATAAATAAAATAACCACGATGCATTATTCCATAAACATACCGTACACAATACATTTATATTATATGGACTATTTTAATAATAGTACTACCTAAATTTAAACTATGTTGGAATGATGCATGTACATATTAATGTTGTTATTGCTCGTTTATATTTTTCCCACACTAATTTATATATCACATTTTAAAAAAAAACGACAATGTATGTAATACGTTTTTATCTTTATCATATCAATCTATAACATAGAGCCACGACAGAGTATACTCCCAGCACATCAATAAATAAGGTTTTTTTAATGTACGACAATATTAAAATACGATACTTATTAAAATTACTTATTTTAACTCATATATAAATAAATATATCATATTGTTAAGTTATATACTATATAGTTATAGTGTAGGAGGTATATTATAGGTGCATATGTAATATACTATTACAACCTACTCGTAATATAAAACAAAGAGTACCTACATACGATAGATTTGTGGTGGTATATCAAAATATTTACGTTTCAAATATATAATAGTCCCGGTAATCTCTTTGAACCTATTTAAACAAACACCGACCTTGTTTGTAATTCACTGCTTACTCATAAAGTATAATCTTATACGTATATTAATAGTATAATAATAATTGATAACCCCTTTTCACGACGTATCAAGACGTACCTAATGTTTGTATATTGAAATATAACTTAGATACTTACTTGATAAACATTATAATCACAATATATACACGATATTATTATACTATAATGTACTTGACGAATATGAAGTGACTACAGGTCTATATTATTGTAAGTTACAATGAATCGATAATATTCTGCAAGCTAAAAATACGCAGCTGAAGAAAGTATGTACTATCGAAATGCGCACCAATAACAATAATAATTATCAAAATCGTATTTTTAATTTCGATGTAGGTATGCTTTAGTTAGTTTTTTTATGAATCAGTTTATTCAAGCAATGTATTGTAAAATACTAGAAATATATTCTTATTTCATCATTATTTTACATTTTTTTTTCGAATATCATTATTTATTTATATTTAAAAGTCCCTTGTATTTTTTTAAGATATAGCCTAGTTCACGATAAAAAAATATCACTTTGTATGTACTTTCCGTATCAATTTTTTTTCTAAATATTAGTCAACAGATAAGACATACACACACATATTATTATTAAATAAATTACCAGTGATTTGTAAGTGTCCGAACGGGTTGCCTTTTGATAGTCCCGTACAGTTCCACCGATGTGTACTAAACTGTTGTTGGCATTCTTGTTTGGCCATCCGTATGCCGTGACCGACGGCGGCCATAGCGTCAGGTGCAGCGGCGCAAATCCTCCGTTGACCTGCCGTCAGTCCGACTATCTTGTTGCAAATCACTTGGGCACCAAACGCGCTTGCCAATATCCTGTAATCATAAATACTTAATAACTACACAAACCTTTATGTATCCAAACAATAACGATTTTCACGAGACAACTAAGAGATACAGCAACAGAAGACCAAATTTTCAAGCGGAAAATTACATTTTTACGAATCCTAATCTTACATTAATCGTTAACATTTACATGTTATATGTATAAATTGAAAAATTAATCAACCATTATAAATATCCTAGACACTTAGGATAACGTTTAAGATATTATATAATAATGATGAAACAATATTTTTCGCATTAAGTATTATATTCTATTACATTCAGAAGGATTATCGAGTATTATCAAAATGTAAATATTTATTATTAAACTAAAATTATAGTGATATATATAGTATGGTTAATTATAATCGTTATTATTTGTATCAATAGTTGGCGATTTAAAAGCAAAGTTTTAATTCCTAGTCTTTGCTTATAATATTATAGATATTTAAAGGTAATAGATACTTGGACATCAATTATAATATCATAAATAATAATGAAGTATTAAATAAAAAAGTCTAATTTAATTTAAAACCTTATATTTGTACACATATTATAAGTATACAATTATCAATTATATACTAGAACCGTTACTTTCACTTTATTTTTCGTTGAAATTTAATTATATTGTTATTAATATAATCGCTGATAGCGTATAATTGTCTTAGATTGAATACACAACTATCGATTTATAATTACTAAATAAGTAGTACTCGCAATAGCACAAAAATTCAAAAAAGCATCAAATAAGTATTTATTTTAGGCTTGAATGTTCAATCATACAATATTTCAGTATTATAAAATTATAATTTTATATTTTTTTTAAAAGCTATAGCGTTAAATAAGCTTTTTATTTAAATACTTAGGTACTTATTTAATATTATGTAAATTAGATCGGAGTTCACTTATATAACTGAATTTTTAATTAAAAATCTATACAACTCAAAACAAAACATTATGATTTATGACAAATATTGCAACTCATCGCAATAGGTCTGAAGTGTTCTTTGATCTTTGATCAACCTTATATTTATTTCATACATAATTACAAACATAATAATTTTATTTCTCAAGACCTAAGTCTTAGTTTGACTTCAAAATATATTCTGTATTTTAAATCTTAAAACTTCTTAGCTTGATTATGTACCATGCATACACTGTACAGCAGTATCGCATTACGTACATTTCTTACAAAGTGTATCAATATATTATATTATTAATTTATATTATAAACAAATCTGAAATAAACAATAATTTAATAAAAAATAATATTTAATAGTCTATATTCTATAGTCTCTGTTAAACTGAAAAATCAATCATATTAACTAAAATCCATAGTATATTTGCAAGCCACTATTAATTCCTTAACGGCAACATATATATTATATATATATATATATATATATATATGTCTTGTTTTATAGTTAATACCAAGTGGATAGAAATAATTTTTAAGGTGGGCTACAGTCAATAGTAATTACTAACTACTTATAATAGTGATCTAGCACCGAGCGGCTACTGTCTATTAAAAATGAACTTTGAGAAAAACATAGTATGTCACAAGTACTAATTATTTCATGATAAACATACCTAACTAATAGAGATTTATTATATTGTATTATTTATTTAATTAAGTATTGATTCTCTGCATTGTTTTCCTAAATTAATTTCAGAATTCCATCTCGGTAAATGAGGTTAAATTTTCCTTTCCGTGTTCCCTTTTCTCTACAAACTATACTTATTGCACTCTCCTTTAACATAACACTTTTTAAACGGCTAGCTAATAAAGATCCCTATTACTTCTTATTGTAAATTCTATTTCAATCAAATTATTAATAATTACTTATTAGGTTAAATTGTATAAATATATTTTTGTTTTTCTCTTGTTCTGTTTAGACGACGAAATAATCGTTTACATTTTAATTCAAACTTTGTCAGCGAAAATTTGATATCGATACATATAACGTAATGCACAATAACCATAGATAAATTGTATATTTTATATTATGTTTTTAAAATCATATTTATAAAATATTGGAATGTAATTAGGACTATAGGTATAACATTTTTTTTTATTTATGCTAAACATTTTATGTTATAATTAGCGCTTAAGATTAACTCGTTTTTTATACAAATAATGTAATGGACGAATCACAGTACAATTTTAAAAAGTTTTTAGATCTCACTATGTTTAATAAATTATAAAGAATATAATAATTAACAACTTTAACAATAATCGTACAAAAATCTGTTTTATCTAAGAACACTCATATCTGTAAAATAATAAATAATAATTTTACCTTTACAACCTACCCATGTCACATTATGTATAATTTGTGTCAGAGAAAGTTAACACAATACACATATAATATATTTGTATAAAAACCCCTAGTGGATCGTCCATTCAAGACATTGTAACTAACGTATTTTAATTAGCATGTAAAATGTTTAACTAGAAGATTCATCATGCCACTCTGACCTAATTAAATTATCGACCGATGTACGCGTTTGGAGAAAAATAAATGTATTTTCCGCTTCACTAATTTATATTCTTACCTAGTCTTCTTTATTTTTTTTTTTATTGAAAACTAAAAACTCCACTCTTACACATACACGATTCATAACATAAACTCGAAAATCAGATGTATATTGTTTTTGCGCGACGCTATTTATAAAATTATGTTATGGTGTTTAGGCTAAATTATTCAATTATTTTCATTTTACTTCTAAACAATATAAAATAATTAAGTTAGTCGAATGACCAATATATACTTTGATTTATAAAATTAAGACAAAAACAAAAATAAAAATGTATTTTTAAAATATTATTTGAATGGTTGTAAGACCACCACACGAATCATTAAAAATAAAACTTCACTTAAATACCTTGTGACAAACACTAAAAAAAAAATCTTTTTAAATAGAATTAAAAATAAGTAGGTAGCTATTTCTGGAATTATATTCTAAGGATTCGACAAGACTGTGTTAAGATCAATTTTTATTAAATAATAATTTGAATACATTAATTTTAGTATTGATTATTTTTTGATGACCATTGTAGTAGGTACATTGAAAAAACTATATACTTGGAATAGTTTAGGAGTGAAATTAGTTAGTTGGATAGCAACCAACGCAAAATATTTAATTTAAGTCTAAAATCTCAATCATTTTATTTTTAGAGTACATAATTAAATTTAGTTTTTATACACATGTATTATTCATCTAAATTGTCTCAAATAAGAAGCGATATACCTATTCATTATTTTGCACCGATATACAAATAATATTCCTGTTTTAATTTAATAAGGATTAAAATTATTTTAAACTTGGGAAACTATACAGTTAACAACGTTTAACGGTTGAATGAATAATAAAAAAAGCACTTTTAAAGTATTAGAAATCTATAGAAGAAAAATCTCGTACCCACTAAAATTAAAGATATCGCTTGATTACAAAACGTATATTTACATAGATCTGTTAGTAGTGCCGTAATAAACGATTCGAATATCCCGTGTTTATAATGTAGTTGTACACTAAACGGACAGAGAAATAATAAAATAATATAACAAAAACAGCTACAAAACTTTTTTTTTCTTGAACCGGTTATTATCAGTTCATCGAGACACTGAGTAAAAGGTGTCCAGCGTATCAATACATAATATACGTCTACCGAAAACACCTCGAATTGATGAAGATCTGTTTCTGTTCGAACATAATGTAATACAGCTGTGTAATATTTCGTACAACCGCTATAGGCACGTTTATATTGTCTATAAAATATATTTTATTCGTATCTATATATTTTTTAAATTAAAAACTATGGGTACCATATAATTAAAATTATCATTTATCCCATCCTCTTCATGCAACGAAAAAAATAATTTTTATATGTTCGCACGTACATTAACCATCCGTAGTATTTATCGACTTTTCATTACATAAGAATACTGTACGACGTAAATATGCTTAAATTTTAATATTACCATTGTTAAATAACAATTAACAATATACTATCATTACCATTACCCGCCATGATATTATTATTATGTGTGTGATATTAGCAAACTTAACCCTACGACAATAAATGTATATTGAATTATTGATCGAGTAATTATACTATAGTCTATAATATTCATATTATAATATAATTTAATAAATATTTTTACATATTTTCGACATAAGTAAATAACTTAACATAATATATAACCATTACATAAACATTTGGATAAAAAATAAAACGCATTTTTAAAACGCCTTTGATTAATTTAATACAATTTAAATGGTAACTAATTTATAGATATTTTTTTTAAAAACAACAGAGGCTAAAATTAGTTAGGACTGTACATAATAAATATATTATACAAATAAACTGGCTTTAAACTATATTCTAATGTATTTAGAAAAAATACTGTATTTCAGATAATTTAGTCGATTACTAATCTATTCATAGTGTGTACATAAATGTCATAATTACTGAGTTACATTATTGTAAAGAACAGTAATTATGTAATCTATAGTCGACCAAAAACTGTTTTATAATATTTTTAGTTCAATCGTGACATAATAATTTAAGAGCAAATTAAAATAAATTAAATATAATATGTATAGAGACATTTTATGTTGCAAATGAATGCTTTGATGTGATTAGTCAGTGCGAAATAAATAATTGTAGTCTTGTATAATATAATAACTAAAATAATAATTCGAGAGGGTTTTGCATGAAATTTCAATTCCTTTGAACACTTTTACTTTAATTGTAATAAATATTACGCTAAAAATTTAATTGTTACATTTCAAAAAGCGATTTTTGTAAGTGGAAATAAAAAAATTAACTCAAAACTCTGTCCAATTCGACTCTTTATAAATAAATAATCAATGAACGTGTATATTGATCATAAACAAGGTTATACATAGGAATTGCTTATAAGCTAAAATATTTAGTGTTTAATAAAATTATAATATAACCATCAAGTACTTTGTGTCAATAATTT